TCTAAGTACACCAGGAGGAATCATTATCTTCTTTTTTCCCCCACTGGTGTTTTTTTTAATCAAGGTATAGTTGATGTATAATATTATGTAAGTTACAAATGTACTAATATAGTGTTTCATAATTTTTAAAGGTTATACTCCATTTATAGTTATTATAAAATATTGGCTATATTCCCTTGTGTTGTCCAATATAACCTTGTACCTTATTTTATACACATTTGTGCCTTAGTCCCCTACCCCTATATTGCCCCTCTCCTTTCCCCTCTCTCCACTGTTATCCCTAGTTTGATCTCTGTACCTGTGAGTCTGCCTCTTATTTCATTATATTCACCAGTTTGTTGTATTTTTTTTTTAGATTCCACATATAAATGATGTAATACAGTATTTAGCTTTCCCTGTCTGACTTATTTCACTTTGCATAATGCTCTCCAAGTTCATCCTCTTTGAGGCATTACTGTGTCGTCTCTGACACTTTAACTACAATATCATTAGAGACTTTAGTTTTCTCTCCTTCTCCTTCTACCAGACCCTAAGCTCCTTTCAGAAGTTATCATCAGTAGTTTAGCACTGTGACTGGTCTGTGGTACTGCCAGTATGTTCTCATTCCAGCCTCCACGTTCGGTTTATGGTATGAAATGTAAGATATGTTTGATGAAAGAGGACAGTATTTTCACTCATTCCTACCTTGCCTCAAGTAAAGATTCACAGAAAACTTGTAGAGGAAGCAAAGGATTCTAAAGTTGATTACATCTTTTTGATATCCTAATTCTAATCTAATTCTATAGGATTCTAATTAGGATTAATTCTAATCCTCATTCTATAGGATTCTCAAAGGGGCAGATACATTTAATGTCCTCCTCCTACCCACTTCAAGAATCAATTCTAGGGGGCCAGGAAGGTACAAGTGTGATACTAGTGTTACATTTTTATTGTGCTGTGGAAGGGTGGGAGCAGGATCAGGGGATCCTCACTTAGATTTTAATGTGGGACAGAACCTTCTGGAAGAGTCTGAACACCAGGAACTCTTAAGATAAGGGCTTCAAGAAACCTGGAGGATAGTAACAAGAATGTAAAAAACGTACAAAACTAGAATTAACCTTTAAGTTTCATGACTGCTCATAGAATTATAGGAAACAAATAAAAGTTTAGAGCTGGAAGGGATTGTCACAAACATTTTAAAACAATTTCTAACCCATCCATTGTTATGGACTACTGATGAACCTTGTAGGTGGCCTTCTTCAGTGCTCCTCTCATCTCTTATCGTGACATCACCAATGGAAAGTTCCCAGTGAATCGCTGCTTTAGGGACAGGGCTAGGAGGGGAGGGAGATGTAGCTACTTGCTTTGCCCATGCCTGTAGGGTAGATTCAAAAGCTAAAAACACTGGAGACACAAGGACAGTCTATCCCCATTCTCAAGATCATTTATTTGTTTTCTATCCTTTGCTTTATTCTAAAAATTATTTAAGATTCTATGTGAAAACATATGTACAGTGCTACTGTACATATGTGCAGTATAACTGAAAGACAACAAAATCAGAGACAAGATTAACACACAAAATCCTTGAAATATATTCCCTGAAGAGGATCCAGATTTGGCTCTGAACTTCCTAGCTGCCAAGTAAAATGAAATGTAATTGATGACAACATGTAGACTGTCTAAAAATGAAAACAAATCCCTTTTTTTCAGAGACGCAGAGCTCTTGATATTGAGAATTGAGAGAAACCTCTCCTGTGACTTCCCATGGAGATCAACATCCTCAACAATAATTTCTGCCGTAAATAAAATGGCAAGTGTAGAATGACTGCCTCCTCTTACCTTCCTGTATGCAAGTCAAAGAGGTACAACGCCAAAGCATAGCTATTAACAGGATGCAAAGGACCAAAGCAGGAAAGTCGAAAGCAATGCTTTTTCCCCTTAGCTCTTTAAGATTCAAGGGGGAGGAGTGGACTCCTTTGTCTCAATGTAATCTTCTTGGAGTGACATTTTTTACAACTAAGTTTTTTATTTGAAAAATTTCCATAAAGAAGAGTATATAGTCTGTATAGAACCTAATTTTCAGGTTACTGACAAAGGGAAGTTTCCTGCATACATTTTGAGGATAAACTGAGAGAAGGGCAGGTTTGACATCTCTTTAGACATTTTATGAATAATAAGGGGTCTAACCAGGACATGTGACTGCCCCGGTGGTAGTCCCACCTTCACACAGGGTTACCCTTAGCAGGGCCAAGATCTTCCCCAGAAAGTAGTTAATTATTTAACCTGAACACACAGGCAATTCATACCAGAAGCATTACGGGTTAATACATGTCCACAAAATTTTCACTGGAAAATGTTTCCATTAAGTGATGTATATCACGTGAAGTGTCCATTAAAAAAGAAACAAAACCTCAAAGACATAGTCTAATTTAAAGAACTAACATAAAATACTATTTAATACAAACTAGTTAAAATTTAGAATCTCTGAGCTCAAAATGACAGGTTTCTGGAATGGCTGATGTTCATAATTTGTTCTTTCTGTTTGTAGGAACAGCTGTCTAGTTTGACATCAAACTATGTCATCAATTTCCGGCTATGATGGAATACCTGTGTTTCTGCTGGAAAATAAGAAGCATTAAAAAAAAAAAAATATATATATATATATAGAAGAAGAAGACTTGTTGTAGCCCTGCCAAAACAATCAAGACATAAAGATCCAAGGAAAGGGAATGGCAGAGAAGTGAGCTGACTTCAGTGTCAGTTTTTCTTCTGGGGAGTTTTCTGAGCCTCGATCCAGAGTAAGAGATGAAATTTTGGGAAGAGAACTGCTAAAAGGCAGCTGATTTAACAACTGAAAACATTAACTTCTGTAAAGAGATAATTAAGTGAAGAAACAGTAAAACAGGCATATAAAAGTTTCTAATCATACCCAAATAGGGAAGATAATCTCCCTTCCCACAAGTGACCCCCAAGGGATTGTGACCTCTGCACTCTGATAAATTCAGTACCCAGATCAGCAGTGGGTGGGAGGTTCACTCCCTACAGAGTCACTTGCCTACTGCACTTGGTACTGCCAGCCCAGATGCCAACCTGGAGTGCACGTCCTGTCCAAAGGTGGCGTGGAGCACATCACTTCTACTTCACACCTTTGGGCAGGAGGGGGCCGGAAGAGGAGGCTGAGCATGTCCTGAGGTGCCAGGGTGTGGGAGGGTGAGTGTTGAGAGCCCGTCTGAGAGAGGGGAGCTGAGACGGGCCCTCCTATGGGCCAAGCCTCCAAGCCATCAGCATATGCTCAACTGACTCACTAGACTTGATTTTAAAAACATAAGTCAGAGATAAAATGAAGAGTTTTACAACAATGGCATTAACCACAAGCATAAGACCCTTGTGGGCACAGGACACTGTGACTGCATTGGTAGCATCCCCAGGAACCTGGCCTTGGTTAGAAATGCTGTGTTCAAGGTTATGTAGCCTGGACATCATCTGCTACCGGTCTTCATCCTGTGCCAAGTTCTTTCCTGCTTCAGCGTCTGTTTTTTGATGTTTTGTGCTTCATTTAAAAACACATTCTTTTTCTTGCTAGTAATTAGCTTCAACAATTCCTCATGTCTGAACTCTTCCATAGAAAAGGTGGAATGAAGGTATGGCTAATTTTCAGGGATAGCATGTGAATATTCTTAAATAAACAAACAAAAAAAGCATATATACATCTTCACTGGTTTTAACTGGGTTGAGTTAAATTTTGTCTCTATGATTCCCCATGCTATTTTATTTTGATCATCAAAGATACTATTTAATTTTCCAAGGGACCTCTTCTGACATTAGTTTTCCTGGTTTTAAGTGGAAAATTAGAATATCTCACTGGTTTGCATACCTAGATCTGATGAATGAAAATATTAAAAACCGAAGTTCTACTCAGAAAAATACATTTCAAACTCCCAAAGAGGTAGATGTGACTTTTCTGTTGGCTGTTTTTATTTTGTTTTTCAAGATTTCTGATAAAGAGTGAAGCCCAAAGCCAAAGACTCATACTGAAAACACTTCGGGCTAAGATTGACTAATGTCTGTAAAGGCCCTCTTCTAGAAACTTGTGTGAGATTCTAACTCTGGCAACCAAGACGGGATTGTGAAATTATAACTTCTAATGGCACAGCTAACACACTTTGTTTCCTGGCTCCAAAGAAAAGTATAATCTTAACATGTATCCAGTACCTCTTAAAATACACTCTGACTCATCTCTCAAACTCCAGGCCCTATATTCCTGCTATAAATTTGATATTTAAGTACACGTTGAAGCCTCAGGGGATGTGAGCTTGGTTAGCAGGGAGCCCTATTTATAATCTGCAAGCTCCATTTGTTTTTCTTATCTTTCAAAGAGATTTCTGGCTCAGTTAACAAGGTGGAGTTGGAAGCTTTAGCAAAGAATTCAGCAATTTAGGCAGTATAATGAGGGAAAGAGGCCTTAAAGGAAGGGAGGCTATCAAGCCCCATGACAGTGAGGTCAAACAATAACAAAACGTTGCAGTCTGGAGCACAGAAAGGTTTATTGCAGGGCCTTGCAAGGAGCTGGGTGTCTTATGCTTTAAAAACTCTGAACTCCCCAAAATGTTTTCCAGCCAAGCCCTTTTCTAGGAAAGGTGTGTGAGGGTGTTTGTGTGTGTGTGTTTTGGGGGGGGGGGGGNCCAGGTCCCCAGACACTACCGAGCCTCATCACTGAGGCAGGCAGAAACCCAAGACACAGCCGTCCTCAGGCTTTTTATTTACACCGGAGAGAATCAGTTGTATGGGATCAATAGGAACACATGTTGTAGCAAATACCAGTCAGGTCAGCTCCCAGCCCCCAACAATTGCCTTTCTTAGAAAACAGCCCCAGCCACAGAGCTGGGCCTTAAGTAACGCTGTGCAATGCCCTTGCAATTTAACCCTGACCCCCGGCTACCTCTTAGGGGCTGACAACTGATCTAAGTTGTACCAGTTTTTGAAACTTGAATGGAGAAACTGAAGCCGGTTGAAGCTCTTACCTTAATGGCCGCGTCCGTATACCTTCCAGGTGCTGGGCCCTCCGTGGGTCATGTAGGCGGGCCCGGAGAGAGGTTTGCTGCTGCTTCAAGGCTTGGGCCTGGTCAGGGGTGGCCGTGGAGAGGGCCCTGGAGCTCTAGAGACACAGCCCTCGGTCTCTTCCGGGGCGCCTCCAGCTCACCCGCCAGCCTGGGCTAGAGGCCTGGAGGGCCTGGGCTAAGGCTGCCATCCGCCTCTTACCACACGCTCTGGGGCAAGGACCACTAGGAGCTGACTATTGGCTGAGCTGGGCCTTTAACCTCACGCTCAGGGTCTCGCGATAACAACTATGTGCCCGCCCTGCTCAAAGGGCCAGCAAGACTTGATAACCAAGCATAGACAACTAGACAGGGCAGTAGGAAGTCATTCTCTACTTCCCACCCTGCTACCCTCCACTTCTCTTGCTAAAATCTCCAAAGCATACCTTGTTTTACCTGTCGAGTACGTGGGAGGGGTGGCGATAACGCCAATGATGCAGTGTTGGGAGGCGTGGTGACAGGAGGAGAAAGGGAGTTCCCAGAAGCTTGGTTGGTACGCCCCGATTCGGTGTCATGCTGGAGAAGGTCGTATCGACTTAAGAGAGTCGACTGTTACATATTTTGGTAGCTTGAAATGGCCACGGGAATTGGTATATACTACAGATCAAAGCCCCCATTCACCCACCCGGTAGCCCAAGATTTGGTTTACCAGGGCTATGGTTTCTGATTTTACTACTTTCTATAAATGTTCTCTGGCTCCCTCTTATTGGAGGGAGTTCTGTGGCTCTTCCCTGGTGATGCTCTGAGGCCCTTGTCTCCATTTATCACCATTATTTATATACCTGCCTCAATTCCTAGTCATGTGGGCCATAAGGGCTAGCACATAATAGATGCTTAACAAATGCCCCTTGTATCAGTGGACCCATAAAATACATATTTTCAACTCACATTAAAACTAAGAAAAGATAGATCGTCACTAGCAGCAATGTTATTTCATTCCTTCATTCATATATGGAAAATGAGCTCCTATCAGATAACAATGTACTCCGTTCTGGGGATTTACCACAGAGTAAAGCATGTTTCTTTTCTTCAAGCTCACAGTTTTTTTGAGGAAGACATGTATAAATAATCACACTACACTTACATCTATGTATTAGTAATAAAATATGAATAAAGAGTCACATTCAATTTTAAGAATGAATGTGTTAGAGTATGGGTGTGTTTTTATAAGGAGTGTGTTAAGAATCATCTGTAATAATATGAAACTTGAAATACTGTAGGTATTGATCAGTAAGGCACTGGTTAATTAAATAATAATTACCAATAAAATAAAATAATTACCAATAAAATGGAATGACATGAAGCCACTAGAATCAGGTAAGGTTATGGATGCTGATATGGAAAGAATCTCAAAGATGCATTTTTTCAAAGGAAAGAATAGTACAATGAAAAGTTGCATGTATATAATAATCCTTTTTTATTAAAATGGTATCTATGTAATATATTTGCATGTAAGAATGCTATTACATGCATACAAAAAATTTTAAGGGAAACATAAGGTTGTTATCTTTAGAAGAGACTGTGGTGAGGTAGATTTTTTTCACATTTTACTTTTGATATTTATATATTTCAATTCTCTATTATCAGTAATTGTAAATTTTATATAACCATTTGGTGGTGGCAGTGATTTAATTGCTAAATTATGTAATAATTACCAATAAAATGGAATGACATGAAGCCACTAGAATCAGGTAAGGTTATGGATGCTGATATGGAAAGAATCTCAAAGATGTATTTTTTCAAAGGAAAGAATAGTACAATGAAAAGTTGCATGTACATAATAATCCTTTTTTATTAAAATGGTATCTATATAATATATTTGCATGTAAGAATGCTATTACATGCATACAAAAAATTTTAAGGGAAACATAAGGTTGTTATCTTTAGAAGAGACTGTGGAGAGGTAGTTTTTTTCACATTTTAGTTTTGATATTTATATATTTCAATTCTCTATTATCAGTAATTGTAAATTTTATATAACCATTTGGTGGTGGCAGTGATTTAATTGCTAAATTATGTCTCACTCTAGTGACACCATGGACTGTAGACCACAAGCCTCCTCCGTCCATGGGATTTCCCAGGCAAAAGTACTGGAGTGGGTTGCCATTTCCTTCTCCAATAACCATTTGGTAATATTGATCAAAAACGTGTAAGTGCCTACCTTTCATTCCAATATTTTTACTACCAGGTACATATCCTACCAAACAAGAGCACAAAAGTTGATGTGAAAGAATGTTTGGCCCATCACCTAAACTGGTGAAAATCAGGAGTGAAATACCCATAAACAGGAGACAGTTTGAATGAATTGTTATAGTGCATCTAAGCAATGGCATATCAGGTAGTGGTAAAAATAGATAAGGTCTTGAAAAAAAATGCTCCTGGTTACAAAGCAGTGTGTTACACCTTCATGGGTGGGGGTGGTTTAGTCGCTCAGTCATGTCTGGCTCTTGCGATTCTGTGGACTGTAGCCTGCCAGCCTCCTCTGTCCATGGGATTCTCCAGGCAAGTATACTGGAGTGGGTTGCAATTTCCTTCTCCAAGGGATCTTCCCAACTCAGGAATGGAATGGGTCTCCTGCATTGCAGGTAGATTCTTTACCAACTGAGCCACCAGGGAAGCCCACCCTCATAATAATGAAAATATATATTCATATAGACAATAGAGTCACATCCAATGAGTAGATTCAGTCTTGGAGAAAATTCATCAGCTGAGAATCAACTCCAGTCAGAACTGCATCTATGAGTGCTAGGAACACACCCAACTCAGGTTCACCCTCCACAGGCCTGGAAGCAGCTCTCCTGAGGGTGAATGGAGTCCTGGCTTGCAGTCCACAGGCTCTATTAAGGCTCTGTGCCCCATGAAGTAGAATATGTAGCCTGAATTTCTCTATTTGTCTTTCTTTCTCTTTGCAGTTTTCTCCATTTCTACATATTTTTATAACATGTGCATTCATTGGTTTGGTAGGCTGTAGTACAATTACAACAAGTAAAGATTTATATGGAGAAAAAGATCTAAAGGGCTATGTGCCAAAGCAAACAGTTTACTTCTGAGAAAGGGGTGGAGATAGAAAAAGATAAAATACTTTTTCTTTGCGCCTTTTATACTGTTTGAATGTGTATTATTTTATACTTGGTAAAGTATAAATTATTTTACACTTAGTATTTTATGTTAAAAAGAAAACTAAAAAACTGATATGGCTAACACAAACATAAGGAAGTGTGGAGGGGTATGAGACAAAGGTGTATTGAGAGACTGGATTTGATTCTGTCGATAATGAGAAGCACATGGAGATTTTTAACCTCTAAGGGTGGTGAGATTCAGTTGATATTTTTGGGAGATAGGATTGAAAATTATAGGCACTGGTGAGGGGCAGACTTAGTTTATGAACTAGTTATCTTTGGGTTTTATTTATGGTATGAAAATGCTCCTTATCTAATTTTGGATGGAAATGCCTTGCACTGGAAGTCCCTGGGGTACAGCAAACAAGCCCCTACATGGCTTCTAAGAGTAGACCGAGGGTCGAACGTTCAGTTCCCTCTTCCTTCATCTCTGCTGTCACCCTCATTTTTTGTCGTGGCACTCGTTAAGTGTCTACAGGTGTCTTAGCAAGAGGGAAATTTAGGCTCCTTCTGAGTCACACAGGTGGATCAACAGTGTTGCAGGAAAGAAAACCTCCCAAGAGAGGTTGGCCTTTCTGGGATACAGAGCTGGACAATCCCTGTTCTGAGGGTATCCAGGGTGTCAGGGAGTTTGAAAGCTGTCATTTGAGGGTGACAGAAACGCTCTAGCAGAAGAGGCAGGAAGGAAGGTTATGCATCATTTTTGTGTTGATTTAATCCAGAATGTTGTCTGCTCTTGTTGGCAAATACTGCATGCTGTCCAGGAATGTGGCAGTGGGGCTGGGTGAAGTCCTCTGCTTTGAAAGAGACCTATTCCAACCCCAAAAAGCTTCACGGGGAAGGTCACTTCCTATCCTTTGCTCAGATGAGATAGCTTTAATCTATAATAAGTCTGAGGCCCATGTTGATACCATTCATAGAGACTGGTTCTTTCACTATACACCTAGCCTATTCCTAAGACAGGCCTTCCCAGGAAGGATGGATCAAGACCATTTCTAGTGTCCGCCACATCATAGAAATTAAACAACTATCTTCCTTTCTGGTTCTAACTCAAATCCAGTCCACTGGCTCCATTTCTTTCTACCTTTGTGGTAACTTTATGTTGGACTTTTTTTTAATCCTCTCTGCCACTTACCTTGATTGTGTGTATGTGCTAAGTAACTTCAGTCGTGTCCAACTCTTTGCAACCCCATGTACTGCAGCCCACCAGGCTCCTCTGCTCATGGGGATTCTCCAGACAATAACATTGAAGTGGGTTTCTCCAGGGGGTCTTCGCAACACATGGATTGAACCTGCATCTCTTCTGTCTCCTGCATTGGCAGGCAGGTTCTTTACCACTAGTGACACCTAGGAAGCCCTACCTTGATTGTTCACACCCTAAATAGATCATTCCAACGTATTTGTTCATTCATATATTCATTCATTTACTGTTTCAACAAGTACTGTGTGTGTTGAGTGCTTGTGTGGATCAAGTACCACGTGAGGAAATAGGAACATAATGCTGAACAAAGAGAATCATGGCCCTTGACCTCATGTTGCTTGAAGCTGGGAGCAGGATTAAAATGTGAAACAAAGAATAACAGGAAAACACAAAGCCACACTGTGAGAAGGCAATGACGGAGTAGTAGAAGGAGAGATTACATTAAAGGAGAACCATCTGGTTAGAAAAGTCAGAGGAGGCTTTGCTGAGGAGATGACTCTGCTGAGCTCTTTCTTCAGAAAAGCCTGGCTTTTGGCCAAAGTTGATGAACTTCCTACCAGAAAGTGAAACAACATTTCCCAAATCACTTTAAAAGAATGAGAAATAAAGGAGTCCTGTTACACCATAGTTCTAGGTCAATGGTACTTAGTCAGCTATTGTCACAGAACTGAGGGCCACTCAAGTAACTCTGAAGGACAAAAATAAATAAATAAACAACTAAAGACAGCAAGCAGAAATACCCTGCTCAGCCTCTTAAAGGGGATAGTCCCTTCCTAACACCTGATTCTATGAGGTTAAAAAGACAGCCATTTTCCACTTACTTTGGGCACTTTTTC